CCTTTCCCTAGTCCCCATCCTGCCCTAGGCAGAGCAGGATGGCTGCAGCTGGGAGCTGGGGCTCCCTGCCAAGCAGTTCCAGTGGGAATTCCACCCTGAGCCAGGGTCCCAGCACCTACCCGCAGGGGCTTGCAGTTCTCCTGGACGTATCTGCCGTCCGACGTGTTCTCGTCCCACACCAGGCTGCCATTGTGGAAGTATTTTTGCTTCCTGCAGGGGGAAGGAGGGGATCAGGCAGGACCTCTCCCTCCCACGCTGCTGATGGTGCCTGGGCTGGCTCAGCACCGGGCTCTTACCGAGTTTTGTGGACCATGTGAGACGGGAGCGGCCCCAGGATTTTTTCCATCATGACAAGGTGCTCACGGTTCTCATGGGTCTGCAAAGGAGCAGAGCGGTGGTGGCTTAGTCACAGCCTGGGAGCTGATGGCAAAAGCTCTGTCAGCTCTGCAGGGACAGCGGAGAAAGGATTCCACCAGGTCCTGTCCAACTCCTCATGTTTTGCTTTTGCCTTTATTCAGAGAATAGAAATAACCTAAACCCAGAAATGATCACTCTGTCCTTCCAGCAAGGCGCTCCTCAAACCAGCCCTTCTCCAGGGCTCATTTTCACACTCAGCTGCTCATTTTCAGTGCCTGATGTTTGTTTCCCTCCCCTTCACCTAAGTCTGAGCCCTTTTGGACACAAAGGGTTCTCAGGAAACAAGAATCCTACCTGGAAGAGCGTGAAGCCACGGTAATACTCGAACAGAATGCAGCCAGTGCTCCAGACATCACACGGCTGTGCCCAGCCCAGCTCTGCAAAGAAAACCAAATTACAAAACCCCACCACATCCCTCCTCAGTGAAACCACAGGGACTCCACTCCGAGCCAGAAATCATCTGCCCAAGAGCTGCAGCGCTCCCAGGCTGGTTCTCCACCCTGGGGCCCACCCAGGACTCCCCAAAAGCTGCAGTTCTCACCCAGAATCACTTCTGGGGGCCGGTAGTGCCGGGTGGCCACGATGGTGGTGTGGTGCTCGTGGTCGAAGGTGGCGCTGCCGAAATCGGCCACGCGGATGCTCGTGTTCCGGATGGATTTCTGCTC